TCCTGAAAAAAAAAAAAAAAAAAAGTTTATAAGAGTGAAAATTCCAACAAAGAAACTGTTCTAGAATAGTCTAATTTTAAAACAAATGGCATTGGACAATAATGACTAGAATCGGTCTAAACCTCATCTGATCAGGGAACACACCATACAGGCCAGGACATTACCTGCCTATATGATTCCCCCCGCTGCTCCTCTTCCTTCAGTGGGATTCTTTCCATTGAGCTCGATTCCTCAGGATGTACTTCATCCCGGCCAATCAGCGAACAGAAGGAGGAGTTATAACCAATACATGTTGATTTTCTGCACTGTTTCTGAATTATAGTCTGCCTATGGTTGTAGTTTGGCAATGGCAGAGGAGAAAGTGAACAAAGTCGCACGTTCCGTGATTCCAAATATTGAGCAATTAAAGTCAGAGCAAGAAGAATGTCTTTTTTTTTTGTTTGTTTGCTTCTCTTGTCACAGTGGACGATGAGTTCTTAATTTAGGGTTTCATTGTTTTGTGGGTATTGTCATAATGAATGGTCGGCATTTGGATTTGTAGAAAGACCCAAATTAAGGCCTTTTAGTAAAAAAAAAAATCAGAGAACAAAAATCTACAATAAATCCATAAAGAGATCCAGGAAAACACAGGGCAGCACAAGGAAGTGACGGGAGTAGGATGGACGAAAGGATCCGGCGAGTGGTGAGTGTGGATGAGAGGCTCAAACACTGGGGAGATTATAAATTTAACACAGGGCCTCTGCTGATGAGCTAATTTATTGCAGGTGTGAGTGGAAAGAGAGGAAACTGACTGAGGAGAGGGAGAGAGAAAAGAGCGAACACAGAGGAACAGGAAGTAGTAGTAACACTAAAGAATAACTTAGAGTCTAATATTTAATACACATTGTTATACCATTAGAAAACGTTAAGAATGATTGTGTCATGTTTGACCTCCTTCAGACACCATGTTAGAACAAAAAATATATATATTTCCCACCCTCATATTATTCATTTTTCAAACATTTTTGAAAAGCTCCAGGGAGCCACCAGGGCAGAGATAAAGAGCTGCGGGTTGCTGACCCCCGACTTAGATTAGAGAGACATGATAAACTGGAACAACAGAAAATAACTAGAAACACTAAATAAACATAACTAGAATCATGAAGGAAGATTCTAGTTGAGGAACACCAGAAATCCAAAACCAAAATCAAAAACAACCCCGGATTCCTGACAGACAGTTCTCCACTCTAAAACATGAATTGTACTAAAATGTTTGTGAAGCCTATAAAGAACAGAGCGTTACCTCCAATGTTCTGAGTTTTCAGCTAACAGACTCTTTCCTGTATAGTTCCTGCTCGGTGGGAAGCTTCTCTCTACAACTACAGTGTAATAACTGGCTAGAAAACCACCACCAGGTGTAGTAGATTAAAATGTGCGGCAATGACTTAACTCCAGGTGCGCCTTTAGTCCCTGTGGCTTACAGAAAAAAGTGTTTCTGTGATACATACCTGGTTTGCTGTGATGAATCACTTCTGTTCTTTTGGGCATTTCCCTTTTCTTTTCTCTCTCTCTTTCTCTCGTGTACATCGAGGAGACGTAATGCTGCTGACTTTCAGTAATCCCGCCGATTTAACGCGTTGTAAACACACTGGGGTTTAATCAAAATCGCTGTCATTTTGTTTGTTTATTTGCGAGTTTGCTTGTAACTCGTGTGTTCTGCTTGATTTCTCCATTTCTACGGCGGCGCCCCCGGGTCTTGACAAGCTGTGTTTCATCCCCGGGTGTAATTGCGTTCGTGTCCCTCCCTTTCCATAATTACTCGTTCGCTCATCACACCCGGGACACGGGAAACCGAAAATGACCACATCCACCATTGGCAGCAGTGTGTGTCGTCTACATCGTGTCGTGTGCTTCCTCGCGCCTTCAGAGGCTCTGAAGGGCTTGTGCTGAAACATTCGTTAGCGTAGCGTCCGCTCTCCCCTCGGCCTCGGCCGCCCATCTATCACAGCGGACCAAGGCAAATGGAGCTTTCAGCTGTGTGGTGATAAGAAATCACAGCCGCATTAAAACATCTGTCACACCTCCCCAAGCTCCGCACAGCCGGAGATACAAGGAGCTGGTAAGGAGGCGGATAAGATGTTTAGCTCCTTTGTTGGCATGGAAAGACAGATCACGTCAACTTCTTCAGTTAGTTCTGTATCAACTCAGTTTTCACCTAAAGTTCTGCAGTGTCACCTTTTTTAATGCCATCATTTACTATAACCGAGTGGTCGACCTCTCCTTTGGGTAGAGATGACAGAGTGCAAACCAGATGCTGAAATAAAAAATACATTTTTAATTCACTGCCTAATTCGACTGGACATTTACATTTTTACATTACATTTAAGATTGACATTTTTTTTATGCGGTAAGTTTCAGAATAATGAGAGAGCCATTTGTTTGATTGACACTTTATTTAATATCAATAGTTTGCATACACAAATGTTACAATGCCAGGCTTTAGAGCCATTTGAGTTAGTTGGATGCAAACTTGCAAATGTATTTCAGGGCAACAACATCAAACACACTAAGGGTGGACTCACACCACGCCTGTTTAGTCAGCTTTAAGTGAACTCTGGCTAATTTAACGTTCTGGTTCGTTAGGGGAAGTGTGAATGGCTAATCAAACTCTGAAGCAGACCAAAAAAGTGAACTGTGGTCTCCCTAAAACTCGAGGTCTTGGTTCGGTTGAAGTGATTTTTTTAATGCCTATGTGAACACCAAATGGACCGGAGATCACTCCAGAAGCAGGAAGTGAACTGTGGCCGCTTCCTGCAACCACTAAAATCTGACACCACTCCACTGTTGTTTACATTTCAGCAAGGTGAAAGTTGTGCTCAGTGTCCACTTAGGGGATTTTTTGTGTCACTTCCTTTAATAGTTCTTGGTGCAGCGCCACAGGTTGCTGAAAGGATTTGGTTCAGGTGACAGTGCGGTGTAAAAATGAACCACAGCAGCTGAAAATGGAACAAATGTTGCAATTTTGGTCCCCAACTGAATCGAGTCTACCGGACTATCAGGTGTGAAAACAACCTAAGACCTTGTGTGGATAGAATCAGTTAAGAAATCAAAATGAGAATTGTGGACCTCTACAGGTCTGGTTCAGATTTGGGTAAAATTTCTTGATGCCTTATGGCAATGTCTCCCAGCCCTGGTCCTCAAGGCACACTGCCTGCATGATTTAGCTGTTTCGGTGCTTAAACACACCTGATTCAGCTGATTGCAGTTCAGCAAATACCAATCGGTTGAAATCACCAGGGCTGAAGCCACGAATCACCTTAAACATGGATGGCAGTGAGCCTTGAGGACCAGGGTTGGGGAAACACTGTCTTAGGGAGCGATTCAATTGTTCAAGCAATCACATGCACTTCATGAACACAATGGGATTGTTCAGTCTTCATAACACTGAAAAAGGAGAAAAAGTCAGTGTCCAAGAAGTGGACATATTTAAGTCTGAATTTTGGATACCGAGCTGAGGAAGGAAACTTCAAAACTAACTAGAAATTGACTTCATGTGGTGAGTGGATCTGAAGACATCCACCATGAAGTTACAGCTTGGGAACAAATGTAGTTTCCAAATGCACAGTCACCAAAGGCAAACTGCCTAATTAGTTAAAAAATAGTTTGAGGACTATAAAGCCAATGATTTGGAGTGACCAATAAGAAAGTGCTGATTAGTCCCAGAGAAAATTTGTGGACAGAGCTGAAAAGGTGTGTGTGTGTGTGTGTGTGTGTGTGTGTGTGTGTGCGTAAACTAAGCTGATTCAGAGCTTAGAGTTCACTGTTTGTAAAATCCCAACTGTCCAAAACAGAAAGACTTGGTCTTCATATGATCCAATTTAATCATATGAAAAGATGGTATCGCCATCCCAATTGTGACATACATGCAGTGTATGTCACAATTCAGTGGCATACACTGCAGTCAATATTAGACAATTACATTTACAGTGTATAGATATTTCAGAAAGTTTATTTTGTCTTGCATTAACAAAGTCCCCTGGGAGTTTGGAAGAGAAACACTACGTGAGAGTCGTCATTGTGACATTTTCATCCCGAGACACCATGCTTTGCTGCTGCTCTCCAACAGTGAGTTTCAGAGATTGTTTTTCTCTCACCTTCCTTTTCAGTGTGTCTGGTAGCAAGATAAAAATGGATTGTCATCCGTCCTCATGACTAGTGGCTAAATGGGTTGCTATGTCATGTTATATTTATACCCCAGGGAAACAAAAAGATTACTGAATAAAAGTTGCTGGAAACTTTGACCTGCTTAAAATAAATACAATCTATTAGAAATGCTTCAGTTACATGTATTTAAAGAGGATTTTTAGGAGTACCGAAGCTTTTTTGCTCCCACCGGCAACCATTGTTGCTAGACTCTTTTTATTATTATTCTAGAAGCTCTAAAAGAGTCCTTTTGGCTTCAGACAACTAATTAAAGTTTTAAAATAGAATAGGTTGTTTACTCTTAGCTCTATCAGTTTCACATTGCTAATGTAAGAGCACTTTACTGTTTGTCTGTGCAGCTGGAGGGAAATGTCTGCTTAAAAATTGTGTAGGAAGAAGTGAGTAAAATACCTTAGCAGATTTGATTTTTTAATTTATTTATCATGTCACGCACCACAGTATGGTACCCAGCCTACTTACAATTACAACACACTTTACATACACCTACAAAGGAACAATCCCAAACATTTTACATTTACAAAAAATGAAAATTCATAACTGAATTACTTTTTACATGCATTCTTTAAAACTGATATATAATTAGAATGTTATGCCAGCATGCCTCTTTTAATTGAAAGATAAAGAAAAGTAAGAACATAGGTAGCGCTATATGCTAGGTGTTAAAGGTTTGAGTGTTTATTCTACTTATCTTATATATTTTTTTCCAGTTTCATTTCATTTCATTTATTCGGCAGGGAAAACGCGCATTAATTAACATTTCTGTAATTGCACCAAAATTAGCCAAAAGTCTATTTTTCATCAAAGGACAATCTTTCATCTGTCGTCCAGGGACAATGTTAAAAACAAAGGTTATACAAGCAAGGTTAAAATGACTTAACAATAAGAAACACAAAACAAAACGAGGAAACTATGACACAGTTATAAAAAGTATATGAATTAATGCAAACTAAACTAAGCTGGAAAGGCACAGATGGTCACATGGTGGATAAGGCATTATTATTCAAAATACTTTAAATGTTTTTCCAATTGATTTTAAGTGGTAAGCTCTGATTGTCTGAAGGGCCGGAATTCCGAAAAGACACTCTGACTAAAACCACTTTAATGGAGAGGGATGATGCTTAAAACTGTCAGATTATTTAGAAAATGACATGTGCTACATCATAGTCCTGCCTACAGTTGGAAAAGATGCAACTGAATAGAAACTGCTGGTATACCAACACTAAACAACTACACTGTTGAACGGTGAAGTAAGGGTGACCAACCTGGAAGATATTAACTGTATCAAAGATGACCCCCCCCCCCATCCCCAATTAAATAAATCTACTCAAATTTTAGTCCTTTACCATGTGCAAAAGGATTTGGTAAATGTAAATATACATATCTTAACCAAGAATGTCAAAAACTGGCCTTTATCACAAAGGGATGAAAAACTGCAGGTGTAACAGAACAATTTCCACTGATAATGATTGCGTTGGTCTTGCATAAATCTGCCGCTCAGCATGATGTTAATGTCAATTAAACTTTGGATGTAATTCAAGCCCAGGAACCAGCTGGATCCCAGTCGTGTTCTTATTAAAAACATCACGATCACTTGATGAGAACAACTTTATTACTTATGAGCTCCAGCACCGCTTTGTAAGCACATACTTAGTTGGTTTTGAAGTTCAGAATAAGGCTTTATTAAACTGATATTTATACACACATAAGCACACAAACCTGAGCACCTTTCTCACACAGTTTCAGCCATTTTACTTCTTATAGCATCACCTCTCAGTGGACTTTTGGGGAAAATCTCCAAAGAACAATTCAATTCTCCAAAGGACAATACAGTTACAGCTTTACACAGCATAACAATGCATGCACTAAGATATCTATAATTACTTACTTGGCTTGTTTAAGTCAGATTAAGTAAATTGCTTCTGGTAATCTGTTTAACAGAGATAAATGCACACAGTCGCCGGTGCTGAGAATGAGTTTATGTGTGGAGAGGAAAACGAGGCGTCCCTTTTGTCCCACTGTGTGGCTGTCAGTCGGCTCCTCGGAGTGATCAATGCACAGCTACAGCTGGTTGAAGGGGACCAAATCCATTGAACAGTTGATTTGGTTCCATTTTACCAGCTTTAGCAAAGCATTTTGGGTCCAAGAAGAAGAAGAGGTTGAAGAGGGAATAATCTGAAAGAGACAAGAGCCCAAATGTGAGTGGAATCATGTATGTGTGCGTCATCTCTATATGCGTTCACAATGCCCTATACATTGGCAAACTGTCACTAATAGTAACTTATGTTCTTTACTGTATGGAAATACAGAAAGAAAAAAAAAAACTGTGTGCTTAAAGAGTTGAAGAAGGAAAGATGGTGAACAAGAACAGAAGCGAGCAGGAGAGATAGAGGACAGAGAAAAATGTAGGCGATGAAAAAGCGATGAGAAAAACAGGGAGCAGGGCCCTGAGAGATAACAGAGGAGTGCATATAAATGATGGCTGCAGACAAACCAGAGAAAACAATGAATTCATCACCTAACTGTCAATACTGCTAATGAAGCCAGCGGATAGGACGGCAGGAAAATTAACTCTCATTGACCTCCGGCCCTATGCAGAACATCCGTTCTTCCTGTTTCTTTCTCACCCTCATACCCCGTACTCAAGCCCGTTTCTTTCCTAAACCCTTGGCTTTTATTCTCGGCCATTTTTTGGGACGATTGTACCCGTGGAAAAGGCCGTTTATCGTAGGCGCGGTGGTGAGCGCGGCAGCACAGAGTCCATGTACTCAGCGGTGCTGCTGGCTCACCGCTCCGCTCGTCCTTGGAGAAACTCATTTCCTGGTTCAATTAGTCCGGCTAATAACTTAATCATTAGGAAATAAACTGTTTATGGTAGGTACTGGCTGCAAAATCTTAGAGATTGATGTTTTATTGATGGAATTATGTTATTATTATTTATGTAAATTATAATATATCTCAGCTTTCACTTTTACAGATCCTTCTGCTTGTAGGTACATGATTTGTTCACATAATGCAAAAGGACCTACAGGAAACAACAACATATGAAAGGTGTGTGTGGGTGGGTGATTGGTGCTTCGTTGTAGTGGATAAAGGATTGACAGAATACTTTTCTTTCTTTTTTTTAGAAATTGCTTTGGATTTCTTTCAAATTCAACGGACACAGAGGAGGGAAAGAAAGACGGAAAGGTGGGAAAAGGGTTTAAAGGGAAAGAACAGTGAAAGGAAAGATGGATACATAGCTTACAGAAGTCTGCTTCCACATGGTGCGGATAGAGAAAAAAAAACAAAACCAGGAAACTATAGCAACAAACAACAAACTACATCATCACTGAAAAGTACGCAGTACAAGTTAATACAAGATGTATTTAGTGGCTACCACAGCCCAACGTAGAGTGTATCTGAAAATACCTGAATCTAAACACTCGTGTGTGTGCGTGTGTGTGTGAGATCTGTGTGAGAGAGTATCAGATATTCTTTTGGCAGTTTTCTCTTCAGTCTTAAGCAGACTGGACCATCAGCATTCATCTCACATCACTCCAGCATCTATGATGACAACACTTTGCATAAAGACTCCATTGTTTCAACTGGAACCTCCAGATTTCCACATTCTTACTCAACCAGACATTCCAGACTGACACTCGTTTCTGTTAATGTAAACCGTCTCCTTCAACCCTGCTGTCCTTCTGTTTCCCATCGTGTCTGAACGTTCTTCTTTTCCTCCCATAGCTTCAGCGCCTCTCTCCTTCTTGTGGCTTCTATTTTTTTTTGAAGCTTTGCATTTGGTCTTGACTCATGGATAGTACCGCTGCTATTACCACATTTTTGTGTATCTGCTCACAAAACTGCATTTGTTCGACCAATCTGGTGCTTATGTTTGTAGATCCTGAAATATATGTCTCTATTTTATTGGCCAGGGTTCAATGTCTTCAACTGATTGCTTCTAGCTTTAAAGACGTCATTCATGCCTTTTAGAAGAGAGGTTCTATTAAAAGATTAGGAGTAGTTAATGTTGTACATGGCATAGATTGGGTTCTCCCTTAGGCTAGTCCCAGCAGACCAGAGGCTCTGTTTATTACCAGCTTAAAACCACTTCAGCTTAGAATGATTTTGAACACATTCTAAGTTTTCCATAAGAAGGTAATCTAGTTCATGTTTTATTTATTTTATTTTTTTTTAAAGAAATTGTTTCTGATGATGGGTAACATGACAAAGCAACAGTGTTGACCGTTTATTGAAGTAGACTTGATTTATACACAAGGTACTTTACAATAAAATACCAACATTAGTAAAAATATACATTGGATTAACACATAAAAGTAAAGATAAAAAATACAGGCTGAAAGTTGAAGGACTATTTTAATACATTTGTCTTTATTTTCCTTTGAAGAATCAACACATTCACAACATTCAAAAGACTGCTTCTAAAATTTGCAGCTGATATTTAGTTAATATTACTGCTTTGGGATGTGTATCATAACCATAATTATACCATTAGAAGTGGAATATTTAATGTATTAATTTTGCAGCAATGGGAATCACAATTGATTTTCAGTTGTACAATTTGAATTTCTTTTTTTAAAAAGTTGTAATATTATTTCATACACTTGTTTTAAAATTAGCTCAACTGTTAAATTCCATGTATGTTTCTAATAAACTTGTGCCTGATTAAGCTTTTAATCAAAACTTGACTATTCATTAACAGTGATTACTTAGAGTTTGGAGATGTTGCACTTTGGATGCAGTCCTGTTGTTTGAGGCGAGGGGAACCACTGACCTTTATTCATTCAAATGAATGTTTTATACAATCTGAAGTATTCATAGAGCCCAAATGTATCATAGTTACAGATAAATGTTTTATAAGAAGGTTGAATACAAATCGCATGTGAGACAAAATTATACTGAATGGAGTAAAATGGCAGAACCAGGCAACCAAATAAACAATGGAGGGATCCACCTTCTAGGCAGAAGTTTGTAATAAAATAAAAATACTGTCACTATATGTACGAGGGTAGGGAAAGAGTGATCTCTCATCCTTTCCTGTTAACTCCATCCCTCTTATGCTTAATAAAGTTGTCACCCAAGAGTTTCGCAAATTGATGACTGTGCATCCATGACTCGGGTGTAAAATGAACTGGAAGGAGCAGGAGGACATTTTTCATGTCAAAAAACAGACCAGAGGGGAGAAGAATGGATGGACATAAGAGCAGGCCACTGATGGATGGATGGATGGATGGACAAATGTACAATGGATGGATTTAGACAAGCTCACACAATTCCCACCATTCCCATTAATTTGCCATATTTCCCTACTTTTAAATCACATTCCACCTTTTCCGGATTGCGTAGAAACTCAGCATGTGGTATCTGGAGGAGAATCTGAGCTTTCATGGCTTGAATCTTCTACCAGTTCCAGAGCTACAGCTATCAACAACATGCAGCCAGGCAGCAGGAATGCACGTGAATCCGGTGACTCCAGGCATATAACTCGTACGGACTGCTCACGTCTGCTTTCAATGTCAGCGAGGCCCCCCGTTTGAACCGTGCCTCTGCTCCTCTTTTGGCAGATAATGATCTGTGAGTGTCCACATTAGACAGAGAGCGAGAGCGAAGACTGCTTTGCCAGCTTCTGTGAGCATTCAAGCGCGAATATCGTCTTCAGAGGAGAAAGCGCTACACCCAGAATCCTTTTCACAGCAGGATTTTCTGTAGATTAGGGAGAGAATCCCTTTGCTGTGCTTTCAGTGCTTCATTCCACCAATCTCCGGCCCACACACTCATCAAACATCCAACCCTCCTTCACCCGGCGCACCTCCACTCAGATCCAACATCAAACAGAATCGTTACACCCATTGCGTTTTATCATTAACCTCGATCAGATGCCAGCTGAAGGCTTCGCCGGTGACTCCTCTTTCAACACTAAACTGGGGGCGTCTCCATCAGGATCAAACCCACAATAAGAAAAGGTGTTGTGCATTCACAAGTTTGGCATCTTTGCAGCTGGGGCTTTTGTACGTGGGCTGACGTGCTGCATGTGTCTGCACTCTTGCTCCAGGCTGCCTTGTAATGTAGGTGCCCTCTATCAGGCAGATTGCGTGGTTGGTGATATGGGCTGCTACTTGTCTATTCTGGGACTGTGCTGTCCACTGCATTCCTGCCCTTATATTGTAGACAGAGGGGAGGAGGAGATGATGGTTAGGGACAGCTGGACGCCGGTGGTCCAAGACAGTCAAGGAGTCATAAAGGGAAAGGTCAGGAGTTTGGAGTGTGTGGTGTCCCTGGGGAGACGTATACCATACAGGTGGTGTAACAGTGCAGCTGCCAGCCCAGCACCATGTAAGTGGGGTGACACTCTGTAACCAGTTCCGCAGTTGACTCTGTCAGTCTTGTTCATTGTGATATTTTCATTACAGATGTATGACCTAACACTCCAGGGGCTGAGCTGATACAACCTGTCTGCAGTGCCACTCCCATCAGCTTCACAGCCTCTTCACTCACTGACCATGTCCGCCCGCCTGCTCGCTCTCTCTCTCCTTATCAGGACAAGTAGGTCTCAACTACTGTCTCGGTGACTGCCAGACCTCCGCTTTCCACCCGGCGCCACGCCGTGTGGGAGGGCTGGCCTAGAATCACTTCCTGTCACCTCGGTGAACTTAGAGCAAGCTGTTTCAGGAGACCGCTGTCACAAATGGAACCCACAGAATTAAGAGCCCTGAGTCCCGCTTACCTATCCAGGCTGACACATTCATTGATACGGAGACGGGTGTTGCCCAATGTGGCAGGGAGTAGATAGAATCAAACTGGCAACCTCTCCAGTAAGTCAAATGGTTAGAAGTACAGCAGACGCCCTGCAATTTGCTTTGAAGAAAGCAGGGAAGACAGTGATAGACTGTCGAGAACTATCACTGTTTCCGCTGAAGTCGCAAAAGTTGGATTTAAATAAAATATACTTAAACTTTTTGTGCTGCCCTTTGATGGAATAGATACTTGTGACCATGCCTCTCACCTAATGGCTGCTGGAGAAAGGAACCTCCGTCCCATCCTATCCACTGATACTGCCTATCCTTGTAGCATGAATTGAGATTTGCTCTGTTAATTACAACAAGCAGGACTGTTAACAAGGGGCAGTCAGGGCAAAGTTCATTATTTAACAACAATGTGTTAGATTTTGGGCT